ACTCAAATTATAAATTTGAGTTTGTAACAAACAAAGAAACTTACTTTCACATTTATGATATCAGTAAAGGTTTAGGATATCCCTAAACATTTTTATAATTTTAAATATTTGCCGTGTGGTTCCGGCGTAGAATGAGTCACTCCTTCCTTTCCAATTGGTATCTTAAGAGGTGACTATAGAAACTGCGTCTCTATTAAAATATCCCTTAGTACAGCAACTACTGGCAAAATCCCCTTTATATTAGGCTAATGTTCAGCATTGGACAATTGAAGGCTGATATTATGATGATGAAATATTTTTAGAAACTACAATAACTTATATTAATAGAATAATACATATAATTAAAAAATATATATACTGGTATATCTTATAATAAAATAGTCAATTTTGGTGAACAGTCAATATATCAAGTGGGAGCTATAACAAAACAAAAATGCTTGCCGCCTATGCGAATAAACTGGATGAATATACTCAAACTTGTCCAACTTGGTTCGGAATGGCATATAAAAAAAATACCAGTCAATCGTAAGACTGCACATCACACATCGAAAGTGAAAAATTTCTAGCTTCACGAACTTGTAAACATTATTTTTGGTTTTTTCCTAGAGCTTTTTCCTCATTCCAAAAAGTACTCAACGTATATAAAGAAGTTTTCATTTCAAAATAATCAAACTATCAAATGTTTTAGCAACACTTTTAGTATTATTTTTAAAACCGTCATAAATTTATGCGCGTGACAGGAACATACTGTTGACTGGAATAAAAATAACTTATATCAATCTACATTCCGAATACTACAAGTTTCTCATTTCATGATATCTGAGCAGTTATGATGTAAAAGATAACAAACAGTCAGACTGTTACGTTTATAATATTAGTAATTTACAATATTGCCATATTATAGGTACAATTTTTTACTTATCACGTTTAGGTACTACTTTTCATCAGTTGGGTCGTCATATTTGTTTGTAAAATATAAAAAATCCTTCAAAATTTTCTTTTCTATTTGTCAAATTCTTGTAATAAACCATAAAGGTTGTCTGGAAGATATTGCTTAGCGATAACGCCGCCTTTTGTATCACATCTCATTAATATTTACTGCATTTATTATTTGTTTACTTGGTACAATAAAGTGTAAAATAAGTAAATAATTATACCACGTCAAGTCTATTAATTGATATTAAAAAAATGCATAAGTATATTTGATAGTTAATTTTATAATAATCTTACTAGTTGTATCAACACACAATGCAAAATACAAAGGCGTTTTGTTTTGGAATTATCAATATACATTATTTAAGCCAGGGCTACAATGTTCAATAAATCGTAGACAATCGTTCATTTGGAATTTGTGATCACACTTCCAAGTTCCAACGTAGAGGTTATAAATAATGCAGCAAGTCATTATTAATCGGAAATCTTTTATTCATCCAATGTTAGCAACGAGTTATTATCAAAATCTATTTGAGCAGCGGCTGCCAGTTAGTATCGAATATTAATAGGAAATATAGTTTAAAATGTCAGCGGAAATGATCGATGTCCGTGGAATACTACTAAGTATTATAAATGTGGAAGTTTGTGAAGATCTTTAGATATTTTAATATTTATTAATCAGTCTTCTTCAGAGTTACAAGCATTAAACGGCTAAATAGATTTAAATTAAATTCCTTATAATATTCTAAAATATAGGTATATTTTAGTAGCTCAGAGAGCTATGGAGAGAACTATGCTCGGAGTTTCGCTCATAAAATCTCAAATGAGGATATCCGGAGAAGAACAAAAGTGACCGATATAGCACGATAAATCATCGTGCTGAAATAGCAATGGCCCGATGTTTGAAGTTTCGCTACATTATAAAGTCTCAAATAAGGAGATCTGGAGAATTGTTGTAATCTATATATGTAGTTTGAAGAATTGACAAGCTAACACAACAATGCCACACAGAACTAATAATGGAATTAACACTAGATTTGTTAGATAGCTATATATATGAAATAAGGAGTCCGAAACTAATAGCGGTAGTATTAAAAAGGCATGATAGGACCCTTGGTGGGGCAAGATTATCGAAACAGAGGCTTCTGAAAAGACTTCTAATCAGCGATCACAAGATGATACCTCGGGTTCTGAACTGCTATGCAGAAAGCCAGACGAGAAACTACTATACTATATTCCCATATACAGCAACTATAATGAGGCCATAAAACTTAACGTGTATAAAAATTACAATCTGCGAAGAAGAATATTTCCAGCATGGTAACCATTATAAGGCGGTTCCGTTAAATATGTTGCAGAGAGTGGATGTATGATGGACTCTCTCATATATTCATAATCTTAATTTCCTATTATTATGTACTAATACTAGTACAGTATAGTAGTATTATCTGTGGTACTAACTAGCTTTTACCCACGACTTCATCCGGGATATGTTTACTGGTCAGAATAAAAAGGCTTTATCTTTCTTTATTACATATGGTATCTTTATACCAAACTTCATAGTGATTGGTTGAGTATTTAAGGCATTATATAGTAACAGACAAACGCTCTTTCACATTTATGGTGTTAGTAAGGATATAGTATGCATCACTAATATATTGGAAGTGTTATTTTACGGTCGTAAAATGCAACTGCGGAATACTCCGACATGAATAATTATGAAACTACATGAGCTTTTACGTTGCAACCAAAATAACATACACAAGAATAAATATAGACAGTCATTAACGGTGGATGTACTATCTTTTACGCACCGACAAAACTCGTAAACGTTTTCCTGTATTGAAACGGGCATCGCCACTAACGCGGTTGAATATTTTTAGAACTGATACCCTACTATGATTTACTAAATCATTCTTTCTAACAGCTGCACGCGAACTTATTTGTGCGTATTCTTATTGAGCTCTTTAATTTATATTAACGCGACGCGGTACTACACGACTTTATTGTTACGATTCAATATTGGGAATGCGATTTCTATTCAATTTTATTATTAAAAGTGCCGTAAGTATATATTATATTTTAACTGTAAGATAAACAGGATTGACTTATGTGTATGTTTTCGACTTAATTTTTTTAGTTAAAATATACTTAGGTATACATATATAGTCCTATCTAATTAATTTAATTTTTGTTCATTATATAATCTTGTTGTCTACGATACCGTTACCTTATTAAATACGTAAAAAATTAAGTTAAATACGTCTTCATTTAACTTTTGTTTTCTAATATCATCGTGACAATAAAATCGTGCCGTGTGCTATAACGGCGTACGATAAATTTTAAAAGCCCACATTGTATTTATGAGACGGATTTATAACTATTATACAGATGCTACTAAACCCGTCCTTTTATCTGAGTAATAACTATAATTGCGTAGTAGCCCGATTCTCGTAAAAACATACCGTTCGTAAGAGCAAAGTTGCATTATGCGCCTAAACTATTTTTTTATATATTTTATTGTATATTTATTTAATCTTTACTGAATAATATTTTTTATGTATCACAAAGGTAGCAAGAAAGCAGACAACTCATCAGATGGTAAATGGTCACTGTAGCGTTCTGTAAATACCCTTTTTGAAGAACTCCATACTGTAGTCTCTGGTGAAAACCTCGATAGGGAGCTCATTCCACAGGCTGAGAGTTTGCGGGGGAAAATTCCTTGATATATAATTTGTTACAAGTTTTAATATTGATATATTATGATTTATAATTTAATTTTTCTTAATAAAAACTAATTATAAGACCATTCAGAAAATATGTAAATAATAATAACGTGTGGAAAGTACATCCATGTACACCAATGTAAGTATTATTAACGTTTTATATAAAATCTACAGTAATCAAACCAACAAATAAATCTGTTATATTAAAATTTTGTTCATAATTAATACAGCTCGTGATGGCCCAATGAGTAATCTCATATCATAGGCAAACAGACGGAAAATAACGCTCATTAATTAATCCTTTTACAGATAAGGGTATAATTTTTAAAACCTTTAGTAAGAATGAATTTGAATATAAAATATTATAATTATTATAACCTACCCTTATCCTGTGACTGTAATAATATTTAAATCGTATTCACGTTAAGCTCAAATTTACAATAATTACTTTTACAAAAAAGAATAACATTTAATGTAAAAAATAATAATTTAAAACTACATACGTGTATACTTTGTCACTGAAGTAAGGCTATATACTACGTATATTGATATTATGTGTGATTGAATATTTATTTCTTAGTAATTACTAAACGGCTGGATACAGTTTGATGTTTAGTACGAGTATGAGTTACTGGACCATATCCCGGATGTTTAAATAAGATTATTTATATACAAAGCCGCAGTTAAAGATAATGAATATATCGTCATAGTCGTAGAATACTGACGGATCTGACAAATATTACATACTACGACTATGACGATATATTGTAGTATATGTGCAAATTATTGTATTATTCATATTTAAATGGAATTCAGTTTACAAAGTTATTTTTTAAACGCAAGGATCTACTTTCGTATTGGTTACATATATACTAATCTTGTCCAGATTGCAGTAAAATTCCTTAGTAAAATAAAATATTAAATTACGCGACATAAATAAGAAGGAAGGAAGAAAAAATAATGGTAATAGAAAAAAAAAACCTTTTAAATGTGAATTGTGTTTTCTTTTTCATCTGCATAGTATCCAGGATGTCTAGTTGCGAGCAGCAGGGCACTAAATGGGGAGTGTCACGTCCCTGGCACTTGTCCTCAAGTTTCCCGCCAGCACTGGAAGCTCCAGTTTGTCTACAACTTTTCACATAAACTCCACAACTTTACACGGGACCACTTATAACGAATTGCCGTCTTATATTCAACATATTGAACATTTTGTACTTCAATAACTCGAGGCATAAATCTACGTCTTAATAAATACTGAATGAATATATATTGAAATAAATATATTTTATTTTTTGAATATTGAATACGCTCTACTTATACATAATGCGAAATAGACTTATAAGATAAGTTATTGAAATATATACAATATGTCAAATATTAACAATTATACCATTTTTCAGACATTAGATAATACTAGGTAATCATTTATTTATTTATTTATTTGAAAATTACTCACCACACTTACAGTTTCCCAAAACGTGTAGTGAGCCATAGTTTTATTTTACAAACTTACAAATTTTGTACAACATTTTAAAAATATATTTATTTTGTCATTAAATTAAATGTCATTTAGATCAATTAGTAAATGTTAAAAGTAAAAATTAAAATATATAGAATAACATTATAAATTTTTAAATGTACCGTTTATTTATTGTTCGATTTTATTACAGGATTACGTTAAATTGTATTCAGTGGTTGGTAAATTAACAAACGTTAATTAATTATGTTTGTCCTGCTTCGTGAACTGACAGGTATCCTATCCATTATGTATTTCAGAATACTAGAAACAAACTTCAAAATTAAACTATAACTGTAACTGTGTTGCTGTATATATATTATTATATTGTATAAAACTATACATTTACCATTATCTGAGACAAATTGAATTTGTAAAACATACTGAACTTTGCTAAATATATTCGCTAATAAATATCATTGTTATCTGTTTACTTAATGTGGTAATAGAATATAATATATTTTATTCCCAGTTGTGAAAATCACTGACATTTTGAATGAATGAATTATTGAATGAACAAATTAATGTACGATTTATTTATGTTTAAAATATTGGTAGTTACAAGACACAGAAATAAATTTATTGGTATTATTGTATACAGTCTGGAATTCCCTCGCTCGGCCGTGAACAGATATAAATAGAGACACGTTGCGAAAACTTTAATGGCAAAGGAGAGCCTCATTGACAAATCATCATCGTCGTCATGAAGATCACGACCATTCTGCCAAAAGTGAACGACTGAAGTAAACAATAAAGTATGCTAGTTTAGACAATCACATTTACTATTAGGAAAATTTGCAAATATATTTTATATCTAATTAGCATACCATAATTTAATCTTGACACTGTTAGATGGTTCACATAACGATTTCAACTTTCCTAGCTTGTCGTAGGTCATGCTGCAAACCGCAGTGCTGACTCTGTGAAACACAAATATGCCAATTAAAACCTCAAATTAAGCACATTCACCCAGAAAGGAAAGTTTCTGTTTCATTACAGAAGCAAAATTTAAACAGTAAGCCAACTTCGTTCTCAGCGTCCGTAATACTAAAACATCTATAACAAGAAACGGTCCGTGTTTATTTTAGTTCAAGATTATTTCTGGAAGAGTTAAGGGAACACCGGAATATGAAGGGGATATCACGAGTGTATTAAACCATAACATAAACACCAAAACAAGAAGATATTTTTAATACTTACTAAAAACTGAAAATCATAAGAAAATGTGAACGTGTGTGTGTGTGGTACTTTTTCTGAGAAATATTTGTATTTTGAAATGCAATGAATATGTATTTCTCCGTAAAAAAGCGATATTTGAATTTAGAACATGGAATCGCATGTTTACACCTTAGATTATATACATAGAGCATGGAGTCTTAAAAACAGGTCTACTTTTTGTCAGCTAATTGTCAAATTAGCTGACTCGTTTTATTTATCAGTGTTTTATATACTTACACACTCAAAGTATTCCTATTCAATTATTTAATACATAAAATGTGCTTTTACACATTAAAAAGATGCAAAATTTATAAGCCAAACATAGAAATTATAGAGGAGTCAAAACTATTTATCACGCAAAAATGTATGTAAAAGTTATCCCACTTTACTTAATGAATTTAATGGAGATAGTCTATCTATATAATTTAAGGTTTACACATAGGTTTTATACTCCAAAAAGAAAAGAAACATAAAAATAAAGGAATGAACTCTGAGTATTTACATATTTCTGTGGTCTGTGAGAATGCAACATATTCAACATATATATACAATCCTAAATTCGCATAAATAAAGATATATGTTTACTAAAATTTTATACTACACACGTGTAACAAAGCACTGAGCCACTAAACGCGCGTGGTTTGCGACAATGCAACGTGTTTAACGTATTGGTATATTCATTCATTCCTAATGACGGAACTACTATTTACAGAGTAACTCTACATTCTCACATAATATATTATAAGTAGCGTGTAGATACTTGTAGCTGCTTTAAGTCTGATCCGTTGCGTAACAAAGTGCTTTATGAATGTAAACCCAGGTTACGGCGTAAACTTTGCTAATAGTGAGCCGCTGTGACAACGTTAACGTTGTATATTCTAGTTTCTATGCTTTTATGTTTACACTGTTAATTCAGTTTACTTAAGCTTTGGCACGTATTGTTTTCACAGTTTTATGTAGGCTTAACCCCGTATAACTGAGTGGGAATTAGACAAAATTAATCGTCAAGTTTCTTCGTATCACAAACGATTACATTATCTAAAAATAGCTAAAAATCTTGTATTTAAAAATATCGTATTTTACTAAATATTTTTTATATAATAATCCACATGTTTTATATTTTGTTTTATTATTTCAGTTATAAGGACAGGCACCTTTTAAATTTATATAGACTTATATAAAATACTACGTATATAATGTTATTATCAAGGTAAAAATCATATAGTCTAAACTCTTACATTGTCAAAGATGCTAATATTGACTGTTATTTTTTATGAATAAACAAAATAAGGTAAAAATTCTCAGATAATGCTGCGAAATTTGTAATAATAATAATATTTCATATTCATACATGTTTATTTTTATTGTGTTTTGGATATGTAAATAGGTAATTTACTTACTGTATATATAAATTGATAAAATGATATATGAACCAGTTGCTTTTTCTATATTATAATTATAATTTCTTGCTTTTTCTATATTATATTATATTATAATTTCAATAAACAGTCTATGAAACTGTTATTTCCCTGATGAGATTTCTCGAAATGATTCGAAAGTAAACATAAAACTAATCTCGCTATCCTCTGCTCGTACATCATGCACTATTTTCGTTTTACTGTCAAAATATAGTAATAAATCACACTCTAGTAAATTAAACTTGTAGTCATAATGTAAAAGTACTATAAACATATAATATTTATTTATATAGTGACTATTTTAGTACTGAATTTAATAAATAAAAAATATACTTGTATCTTATACATGAATTATATAATAAAAGAATGTAACAAGAAAATATTATGAACCTTTCAAATTAGTGCATTTTAATGAATTACGTTATAATCTTAATAATAATAATTAATAAGAATAACTTATATATTCTCATATCGTTACATCAATAAAAGTTTCTAATTATTTCTAAATGTATTATACAAATATCATCACCGTCCGATTCAGTTTAAAGAACGTTGCCCCCGGAACTGTAGTTGGAATTATTTCCTAGAACGAGTAGTTTCACACACGCATCTTAGTCGAGTGTCTGCAGTAGTGAATGTTCCGCTAATGGATCATGTATGATATTACCAGTACTAAGTGGCTATAATGCTACCCTTTAGCATTGCATTAAAGAGATGTATATAATTGTATACATATTTTTACTTCGCTAAATGCGATGCGAATGCAAAATGTTATGATGATATAAAATATTAGAAAACATTTTCTTCTATTTCTGTTATACAAAAAATGTAAATTATACTAGAATTTAATTGTGATTTTATCTAAAATTATTAACTTACTAGATTTAACCCTTGATATTGCGGTCAGGATAAAAAGTATTTTATGTCCTTCTTTGTTCCATATAAGTACATATACCAAATGTCATAGTAATTGGTAAAGTCGTTAAAGCGCTAAGAGCTAACAATTAAATAAACCCATTTTCGCATTAATAATATTAGAAGGATATTACATTACACATTAAGTTCGCATTTATGTATCGACAATTATCACTTTTCAAAAGATGAAATGTCAGATTGTACCCAGTACCACACATATTTATAAAATTTAAACATATTCAGTAATAAATAATGAGCATGTTAAGTGACAATAATATCACTCAACATGTCCATATAATATATATTTATAAATATATATTTGGTTGCTAATTTAAAATATAAGAAGATATTCTATAATCAAAATGTAAGTAACAAATAGCTCTGACTACTACAAAAGGGCTTATAGATATGAGCATATATAGATTTTTATTTTTATAATATAAAATTATAATAAATAAATATATTCCTAGTGTATATTATTAATAATTCAATGTATTAGACAACAAATAAAATTAATATTTAAACATTTCGTTCAGGCCACTGACTACCCTTGTCTTCATTTCCACTCACTTTTATTATTTAGCAAAAGCGCCTCCATGCGATTCATGAGCTATTTACCGGCCAGCATGATTTAAAGTGAGCCGAGATTTTACATAATAAAGTTATGTTCCCGAGCAAATCCCTTTGTACTCGGCCGTAGTACGCATTAGAAATGTTTTATGAAATATGTAGGCACAATAATACTGCCTTTATCAGATCAAGAAACATTTATTTTGTTAGGGTAATAACGTTTTAGTATTGCACGAATTTTAGAATTAATACATAATATAAAGGATCCGTACTGATATATATTTTTATACAAAAAAGCTCCTATTTCAAATATAACAAAAGCAGCATAGAACTATCTCTAAATCTGAACCTTTTTAAAAATCACACCAAATTATTCAAATAATTCTTTATTGTGTCATTAATAAAAAAGAAAAGACAACATTATAAAAACTGTGCTTTATAAAATTAATAATGAAATTTAAGAATCATTAAGATCGATCTAGAAACCTCGAAGAAATCCAAATACAAAGACAATGTGCTGTAACGTACTCTTGTAAAAATGTAACAGACGCTAAAACTGTACGATGAAAACACAGTCATCAAATCTTATTAATCCATGAAAGGACGGTAAGCTCGCTTTTTGACAGGTTGAATTCGAATATGGTCGGTGAAATGTAGGCTTAGCGAGTAACATACTGGAGAGTCAAATCGTCGTATTTCTGCCAAAACGATTCGTAAGTCGTGTTACAGTTTTTATATAATGTTATATATTTTTTATTTTAAATCCACATGCCAACATATTATAATAGTTGCTAGTGAAAAAAGATTTCAAATTGATACAAAATGGAGATTAATACTGAAGAAATAATTAAAAAAGTAAAGGCCATTTACAGATCGCCTTAAAGATAGATATAAGGGCAGAGATACATACAGGGACGGATAGAGATGGTTACGGTTAAAAACCTCATTTTGATATCTATTTTTTTTATAATTAGTAGCTGTTACTAATCTTTTTATGATAACACAGTGTAAAATCAATATTAATTGCATATTAAGAAAGTATTTTAAAAGTGAAACTAAATATTTTTCTGAAATATTGTTTGAGAAAAATTCAATTTTACTATTTATTATACTCCTATAAAGATATGTTACTGAGTTCGATTTCAGCTTGTAAATATAAGCATTTTTTAATAAAGTAACCCAAGAATGAAGGATTCGTTAAAAATACAAAACGTAATCGTGATTGGCAAAAGAAATAATAACTCTGATAACAAAAACAAATCCATTACACTTGTTCAAAAGACAATAATTATTATCCTATTACAAAAGTAAATGAAGAAATTTGAAGATTCCCTCTTGGTAATTTGTTCTTTCTAGTCCAATTACACAAAAGGAATGAAAGTATCAAAGCACAGAATGTTCGAAATAAAACTTGGATTTTTTTTTCACTGTATTCTCCCTCTCTCAGGAAAATGACATTATTAAGAGGCGAAGTTATGGTGAAGTCATTTTACTAATTACACATTAATTTTATAATGGATGTTTTAATTTAGAGGTAATTAATGTTTTAGTCGAAAGCATTCCTCTACGTCACCAAAAGCCTAATTGCCGTTGCCAACCCGCCTGCCGAGCGTGGCAACTACTGGAAAAACCCCCGGGAGATCTATGTTTAAGCAGTGAACAGATAATGACGTGATATGATGAATGTTTCAGTAATTATAGATATTGACGCTAATATATTGTAATTTGCACCTTCATTTGAATTTTAAATTTTAAAATGTGTGCATAAAATCATTGCATAATTAATCATTTTTGACGATTTTATAATAAAATTAAAACTAGACAATGTCACTACATGGAAGATATTTAAGATAAATTTATATGAGAAGTCTTAATAAGGCCTACAAATGTTACAATAATTTTTTTTAGAAATTTCGTATCTGTCTGTACGTTTGTTCTGGTACGAATATTATACAAAAATTATTACACCAAATTTGATACAGTTTTCATAGCTATATTTTCGAAGATATAATTTAAAAAGTGGTGTATATTTTACCTTGATACATCATCAATAAGCGGTCTATATAATTGGTTTTCCTACTTTTTTAATTTACGAGTACCAAGTAGCCGTCAAAAATCTAATATATTGTAGATACGTATATAATATTCAATAATATTATATATGGTATGTATTAGTCAAAATTTACTTTAATGAACTCTCTGATGAATTGATAAGTCTGCATAGATAGGTACTTATCGTTACATAAATATTACGAAAGAAAATTCTAAATTACTTATATATTGCGAATAATATTATAAATGCAAAGGTTTGTAAAAATTTACAAGATATAGAAGAATAACACCTGGATCCTCAGGAAGGGCAACGTATGGGGGGTATCATGGTCGAAACAGTATACTCTGTTATGCACATAGTACTGCTCATGTCTATCACTTTTCATCAGATGGGCCGTCAGCTTGTTTGCCAATCTAAGTTGCATATATAAAAAGATGTTCATTAGTCAATTTTAATTCATAGATGAAACTAAGTCCTTATATTACACAAAAGCTACTTTTTATCCTTATTCACACACGCACAGCCACAGGTTACAGATAGTTTTACTTTAGACTTCTATATTGGAATAAACAATATACAACATTGTGCTCTCATTATTATTCACTTAGTCTTAACACCCTCGTCTAAGGGAGGTCGAAGTTTACAAGCAAACAGCGTAACATATGTTCCATTATTTATTTTATAATATTAGAATAAATTTTTTCTGTATTCATTTCTTTTTTTCTGTTACACAATTGACAGGGAATTCATCCATCGGTTTCAAAGGAATTTAATACCGCGAATGCTCAGGCTATGGAATGAGCTTTCTGCCGACTGCTGACTTGCCTGCCTGGTTTTCCTTAGAGACTACAGTATGGGATTCTTCAAAAAAGGTATATTAAGGTTTTTTCAGGGTCACCAAAACACACGTGACACCCCTAGTGTTGCAGGCGACCATAGGCTACAGTGACCGTTTACTATGAGGCGCACTATATGCTTGTTTGCCACTTTAGTGGTATAAAAAAAAATACAGAACATAAAATTTAAATTCAGAATTTATTTAACATAATTAACCTTATTTACCACGGGAAACTCGATTCCCAAATAACAAAGACAATGATGGCGACCAAGGAACCCGAAGTAAACTAAGGCGGCTATCACCGTGATTCATTAATGTGTCTCCTCGTACAAATCTAAAAATATAAAAACCTCGTGTGTCCGATTCGCTCGTCACTGCCTAGAGTGTTGAAAGTCCGAGTAGCCTAATCCAAGTACCTACATATCAAGTGATTCTAAATACCCTAGTACATAACCCAATCGGTAGGAGAAATGGGTTTGTTAGTAATGGAGTTTAACTAATCCATTACTAGCAATGTACCCTATCAAGTCGAACTCCATGTGGCTCTCCATGGAAACCACCTTTTTTAATTCTTATGAAATTCGGCACGATGGGTCAACTGACCTGCTTTTAATCCTCACCGAATCTCCGTTTGGTGCCCCGCCAATGTAAACCAATATCATTCCATCATTACCCTTTACATCTATACACTTTACACCAAATTTTGGAAACATGAGATACAGGTATCAGTATAAATTATAAACAAATTCAAAAGCGAAAACTCAACAACGCCAGACTTTAAGTCGCAGAGCTGTCAATGTATTTTTGCCGCTCAATATTTTTTTTATATTGGGTTGCCATACAAATGAACTATATCCAACAAGCCATATTATAGTTTATGAATTGATATGACTCATATGATTTTACGTTTTATCTTGTTGTGATAGAAATCTGATTGTTTGGTAATAACAGATTGACTTTGCTATTTTTACGATACAATTACAATTTTAGTTTTTGAGACAACTTACAATTTATTTTTATTTATGGCGCTATTCGGATCTCATTAAGTTGTAAGATGGCATAGTGTTTTGTTCCCTTTTAGCGGTTTATTTATAGTAAAAAAGTATTATAATATATTACGGTATTATATTATTTAATTGTAGTAATAAAATCTAATTTTATATTTATATTTTTTATTTATTAAAAAATTAACACAAAATATTAAATCCTATACTCGTATTGCTTTTATTTCTCTATTAATAATAGTTACTAGTATATAGAAGCTGTGTCAGTACTCACCGCTCTATTAAACTTTCCAATTTTCGATATAGACAAATTTTCTCATTGGAATATTTCGTCCAAATTCAGCGAAATATTTTATTTTTTACATGTACAAAAATTAAAAGGCGAAATACTTTTACATCGTTGAATTTTGACGAAACGTTTCATCAATTTGGTAAAAACCGTGAAATATGAATGATAAATAGGATTTTATATATTTTATAATAGTATTTTTATAATATTACATTTGTCATATGTGATTTTAAAGTCAAATTTAGTTTCATAATATACCTTTTTTTTGCATTTTCCCAACATAGTAGGTAGAATGTTTAAGTTTCAAAACGTGTTGATAATATCTAATGTGATTAATTACTACGATTAAACGACGATTCTAAATTTATTACATATAATAAGCAAAAATTTCCCTCTTAGTGACCTTTTAAAATTTGACAACCGCAATATGCCTGCCTACGTCAACATAAAAATGATAAAAATGATAAATTTGTTAAAAAATATTACAGACATAATATATGTTATAATATATATATATATATATATATGTTTGGATTATGTGCATAGTATTTTATGTGTTAGCAGAATGTAATTATATTGCATATGTAAAAGCTATACATTAAAATACATCTATTTATCTTGATGAGTACATAAGCTTTATTGATGTTTCTAAATTAATTCTTAAAATTCCACCTGTTTCAATAGTTACTCTATCAGTTTAGGCTAGTCGCAAATAATCCAAAATCAATATTTGATCATCCACAAATGGGCGCATGTAGACTGCAGCATATTCAGGAAATATAAGCCTCTATTGAAAGCATGGTATGATTCCATATTCATGACTATAATAGGTAATCAATAACAAAATATATTCAATTATCTATAATATATATTAGTAGAAACATAGTACATAATAAAAAAACTTGATATTTGCATAATTATAGCTATATTCTGTATTAAAGGAGGGTTTTTTAGACTGTGGTTTTATTATATTTATGTAGTGATTGCGGCGCTGCCTGAACTTTTAAATATTAAACTTCAACTTCGATATCAAAGTCCTCTTATAAAACTTTTAACAATATTTTAGAAAGCATGTAAAGGTAAGAAAATGATAAGTACTCGTAAAATGCTGAAGTTTGAGTATTCGAAACACGTTTTAATGTTGTTGTCAAAATATTCAAAATAGGTATTTAATAATTTTAATGACATTTCAATAGTATTATATCTCTCTATGTTTTTATATAGATTTTTTAAGAACAAAACTAATATATATATATATATATATATATATATATATATATATATATATATATATATATATATAAAGAATGGCAACCCACTATCGCCCGTACATCAACGCCCTCTGTGATTATTTACGTATACCATTAACACGGTTACTGGTTACTTCAATAGTTTCTGATGGGCCTAACAAATGTGCGTTTAAATCTCTCCCCGCTACAGATGGGCAAAGCACCGGGTTTAAACCCGGTGCTTTGGTAAAAACCCAATAAACACCCATAAACTCCCATAATCACCCAAAAAAATAGGTTTTTACGTATTTTTTTGATATGTAAGTAATACCAATAAATTATTTTTATAAATTGTATTGATCAATTCTACAATATTAAATAAAACGTTAACTAATAATATTTCAGGAAATTTTAAAAATCTATATATAATAAAATGAAAGTAATTAATTTTCAGTGTTTTCATGTTGCAGTTGATATGTTGGCCTTTTGCTTCCCGTAGATACTTTAAAATTTCTTCATAACACCTCGTTCGCACACATGGCCGTATATATTTAAATTCTTGAGCCACTAACAGTCCGAAATACATTTCTTTTAATAAATTAAGCATTTAGAACAGTATTTTTCTTTTATCTTTTTTTTCTTTGTTGCGACGACGCTGTGTAAATCATCTGGACACTGGGTCTCACTATCGCCAAATATATTTGGAGATCTGCTTCGGCTACGGCTTGGCAGACATTTTTTTCTTTCTACAATTTTAAATTAAATTTATTAGAATAAATGCTTCGAACACACGTTAAGTCAATAGTTAAAAAGAGTACTCTAGATTTTCTTTTATTAACTGTTTTATACGAAGATCTTGATCTCTCAAATTAGCATCCATTTTATAATTATCAACAAAAATAATCCACAAAGTATTAAATAACGTTTTTATGAAATATTTAGCACAAAAACAATCCAAATATCAAATGTGGCGACACCTATATTCTAGCAAGCAGGACTGCAGATGTGATAAATTCATGGAAATATGTTCGTTTCATAATAAAAATGAAACCAAAAAGTCGTATGTTTTTGTGCGAATTACGATCATAATCTTTACATGACTTAAAAAATAGACAAATAATAGTATGAGTAATTTAAATCAATCTGTCAACAAAATATATTCAAACAATGTAGCCCAAGCTTATATCTTATATATACGGAAGAGATATTAGAAAAAACAGAAATGTTGTTCTTTGTGGAAGTCATTGATGAAATTCTATGTATTTTAGCCCGCAAACTTTCTTCAAACAAAAACAGCGCCATCTAGTATCGAGTTCTGTAATTATCTCTTTGTTTATGGATTTGAAGTAAGACCGCCACGCATGCAACATTATGACTGGGGATTCCCCTATTCGTCGACGCTGAATATGAGGCGACGACAATCACTGTCAAACGTGTTCACTATTACTCTGACTCTGGTAACGTGACTTCCTGGTAACGTGTTAGGTAGGAAAAGCAGTAAAAAAGTGCATATTAAGGGAGCAGATTTGAAATAATATTTATACTTAACAAGAAATAATTAAAGGTAAGTGGATTTTTGAATGATAAATTATATCATGATCACTTAACAATTTTAACTTAAAATTAGATGTATTATTACAAGTATTTAGCTTATGTAAATAAAAGTATGTAGGTATTTCGTATGTTGATGCAATTATCCTCAATCCTCAACCGTCTGGGATAAAATTTTCCATACACGTTTATTTTGGATGATAGTGCATAGTTAGCTGAGAGTCGTCATTGGATAATAATGGTGGATAGCCTAAGATGTGTACTAGATATTTATTTTTAACATAATATGCGTAAGTACCTAATCGAATTAAAGAAGTTGCTGAGAAAAATACAGAACAATACGATAATAAACTAGCGTCTGCGTTTAATCCTCCGAGGAGATGTAATTTTACAAAGGTTTTTTGTATTTATTTTATTATTTTTTTAATAAATTTATTGTAAATAACAAGAAATAATCATTGTAAAAAAATAGGCACTCTATTGTTGAATTTTCGTCAGACCAACTAATCATCGTTCATTTTTTTAGGTTCAATGGGGAGACCTAAAGATTTACGCATATGGGAGCACTACCGTACTTTACCAAACAAGTCTGTTTCTTGCAAGCTTTGTAATAAGGTCTACAAATTCAGTAATGCTTGCTTCAACATCTTATCACTTGTTTCCAGAAACATTAAAAGACTCTATGAAACTTATAAAGATAGCTCGTCCAAAACCAAAATGTCTGGACTGTCAGAGATAGAGACAAATGATTCTTTTATAAGCCCCTCGTCGTCTGCTAACACTACAATAAATGCTGAGTTTCAAGACACCGATGATCATATAAAAACAGAATTAGCGAGAGCTTTATTTGTAACAGGGACGCCATTATCGATGGTGCAACATCCTTTATGGATACAATTTTTCGAAAAATTGCAACCAAAATTTAAAATACCTTCACGTAAAGCTTTAGCGACAAAATACTTAGATAAAATATATAGAGAAATGCGTTTTGAGTTAAATGAGGAACTAAATGCTCTAGTTACTTACACCTTCAGTGCGATGGCTGGTCTAATTTAAGAAATGAAGGAATTTTTCTTATATCAAAACCTCAACCTGCATTTAAAAGTTTGAATACAGAAAGTAATCCTCACACTAGTGAATACCTTAGCCAAGAAGTTGAAAAAGTTGAAAGTGTATGGAGCAAATAAGTTTCTTGTACTTATTGGCGATAACGCTATTACAAAAGGCATTCGAATTAACAAAACTCAAATATCCACATTTTTCCTCTCGGTTGCTGTGCACATATCCTCTCTCTTGTTGTGCCAAGATTTGTAAAGATACAAGGTGTTTATTATGCAAGCCATAAATATAATAAAAACTGTTAAAAGGAGTCAACGATTAAGTTCCTTGTTGATAAAATCAAGGCAGGGTGAAGATTCTACACAAACACTAAAATTGCCTTGTGCTACAAGATGGGGAATTCATGTTACTTCGTTAAAAAGTTTGAAAGCAAATAAGATAGCTTTGCAAATATTAACAGTTAGAGAAGATGTGGTAATTTCAAGAGATATTAAAGATTTAATTCTAAGTGATGATTTCTGGACGAAGACAGGGGAATGTATAAGTATTTTGGAACCAGTCACTGAAAGCATTTTTACTTAGAGAGCGACCAGAATCGTTTGCATATTTACATTTATATTTTATTTCATTTGATTATATATTTTAGTATTTCAAGATGCAATATGGCAATGAGAAACATTTTAGCATATATTCTACCCCAACGATCGAACTTACTCAAGAGGAAGAACTTAAGGGTATGGAGTTTAGAACACTTAAGTTTGTCAAATGTAATGGCAGATTTGGCGTGTTATAAAGCTAAAGAAAACTTTTGGGCCAGAGGATTTGTATGGAGCTCATTAGATAGCATTGAGCCCCTAATATGGTGGAAAGGTATTTGTGGTTCCACTGAGTTAAGCAAAGTAGCGATTCGTATTCTATCAGCTCCCTGTACTTCGGCAGCCACTGAGCGTTCCTTTAGTATCCAAGGCTACATACATAATAACAAAAAAGAAATCGACTTACAACTGAAAGAACTGAAAAAATTTCATTCATTTGTTATAACATCAACATAAAGCTGAATGCGAGGACATTCAGTTTAATGAAGAAAATACCTTAGAAGCTTTCATTGAGCAAGTAAATGAACATAACAGTTTAGACGAAATAGAGCCTATCGAACCTATACAATTCATCGCTTGTAATAACTCTGAATCTGACAGTGATTGACTGTAGTTTTACATTTTACTTTCATCTCTTTCTTAATAAACTCAAAATCAAATTAAAAGTTTTTTATTCTGTAGGCTGCATAATAATATTGTCTATGTCCAGTATAGTGGACGTCTTGCGGCTGAGATGACGATGATGAAGTACAAAATCATAAACACCAAAAA